TTCAAGTTGTCTCCTGGAACACATTAACATACTTATCACCTGTTTCTACGGGATAACATGGAGACAATGTGTAAACTGACCTTTTATTCAATTCGGTTCTAAAAGAACTGAGCTATCATGTTTACTTGTCGGCCTTCAACCAGGGGTGCAGGCTGAACTTTGACTCCACCTGCTTTCACATCCATGGACATACAAGGGGTCCTGCGATGTTACCTGTTCCAGCACGGAGGGAGGCAGGTCCGCCCCTGCTGCTCAGCTTCCAGAAAGCGGTCGCAGCCGCAGGGCTGGGATTGGGCGTGACACAATGCCAATGCCACAGCAAGGATAGGAAGGATACAGCATGCAAAAAGAGGAGGGATATAGGGCAGGACAGCAGTGCGGGTTTGGATAGTGGTGGGTGAGTGTCAGGAATAAGATCCAAGATAATCTGGCATCCATAGGACAGTACCTCACTGTGGAAATCTATCCTCCCCATCACTGTCAACTGCAAAAGGGCAGAGAGTCTACTGGGTTTCAACTGCTGATCCACTGATAAACAGCTAGGTACTTAACCATAGTGCCATCAGGGTTCCCAGTAACAATGCTCACTGCCATCAAGTTGATTCCAACATAGAGCAACCCCATATTTGGTCTATACAGCTGTAAGTCTTTACTCAATTAGATTGCCCCATCTCCCTCCTGCACAGTAGCTGGCACATTTGAAGTGCTAAACTTGTGGTCAGCAGTCAAATGCCTTACACACTAGGCCACCAGAACTCCTTCTCAAAAGCAGAAAGAAGAGATAATTCCCAGATCTCTGTTCTGAAATACCATTCTCTAATGAAAGGAACCAGAGTTTCTTATAAAAAGTCTGATTACACAACTCAAACAGGAAAAGGGCAAGAAGAGTCTTCGATACTCTGTGAGTATGTACAATTTTTATGGCAACAGGTACAAAAATACAGAAACCTACTCAAAGGAGCTTGAGTAGGATTCCACTCAATAGGAGAGAAGATTTGGGTTTAGGCTTTGCTTCTGTAGGGACTGACACGGTTGTCAACCCTATGGTGCAGTTCTACTCTGTTCTCTAGGGACAGTGTGAGTCTTAAGAGACTCCACGTCAGTAGGTTCGGGCTGGGTTGGCTTCCCAAGAGCCTTGGAAAAACTAAGGGATAGTTCTATTCTGTCCTACAAGGTCACTATGAATCTGAATAGACTTGTTTAGTTTTATTGAATTAATCATGTTATGCAACCATCAGCAATGCCTCTTGACACATTCTCCCATCACCATAAATAGAAGAAACTCAATGACTGCCATGAGTCTGAGTTAAGTCAAAATAATTTTTTTTAAATGGGGTAGGTGAGTATAGGGGAGGTCAGGACGATGGAGGATCTGACAGTTACATCAGCACTGGCCCGGGAAACAGGGCACACCCAGTGAAGTAATCATCCTGGACCTTCCTTTCATGTCTGTTAATTGTATAGTGTTCTCTGTGATTTGCCAGCTCTCTGTATCTGAATCTACTCTGTAAATCAGGGATAAACACACACCAAAGCCCCAGGCCACACATGCCCCAAAGCTGCCTTTGTAGGGCCCCTGGTCTCATAGCATGGCCACAAGCATTCATGGACTTTTGTCCATAGTCATATTGGAGCTACAGTAGCAGAGTTATGAATTTCAAAGAGAGGATATCTGGCATGAAAGCCTAAAACATTTAATTCTATCCCTTTATGAACATGTTTGCAAACTCCTGCTCTATGTCACTGTCCACAAGGGATCACATTTACAATACAGACTTTGATATTAGGAAGGAATTTCCTGTTCGTGTAGATGAATAATTATGTGTGAACATACCCACCCCACATATACCCACCCAACAACTGTATCTCATGGAATTTGAAAACACTGTGATGACAATGAGCCTTTCTTCCACTCACTCTTCCGTGTCCTCTTAAATCTTTCTTAAGGGTGCAAAACACAAGACAGGAGGACAAGGGGTAAGATAGCGGCACAGAGAGCAGCGGCCTCATGATCCTCTACAACAAGAAAGGAAGTACAATTCTGGGAGACCAGGGATCTTGGACATCTGGACACCAAGTGAAGGACTGGATAAACAGGCTGAGCACCAACAATGGGGAGAGCTGGAGAAGTGACTAAGGGAAGGTGGGAATTCACAGACCATCCAAACTGCATTCCCACTGAGGTCAATGGAGAATTTTGAGATGCCCACAAGTAGCAGGAGTTTCCTGCCTGATTTGCAAAAAAGCCCAGCCCTGGAGCTAAACAGAGGGCTCATACTGAGAAAGTCCTGGAGGGAGTGATCAGGGGACAAAACATGGACAAAGATGATTAGAACTTAGAGGAACCCAAGAAGAAAGCACAACTCTGAGTCCTGGGAACCCCAGGAAAGTACAGCTACAAGACATTTACATGGACTGGCCAGGTAGAAACCATGCAAGGAGGATAGGAAGGATGCAGCAGGCACACGAGGGAGGGATATAGGGCAGGACAGCAGTGCAGGTTCGGACAGTGGTGGGTGAGTGTCAGGAATAAGATCCAAGATAATCTGGCACCGTAAGACAGTATCTCACTGTGAAAATCTATCCGCCCCATCACTATCAATTGCAAAAGGACAGAGAGTCTACTGGGTTTCAACTGCTGATCCACTGATGAACAGCTGGGCACTTATACATAGTGCCATCAGGCTCCCAGTAATAATGCTCACTGCCATCAAGTTGATTCCAACTTAGAGCAACCCCACCTTGGGTCTCCAAGGCTTAAGTTTTTACTCAATTAGACTGCCCCATCTCTGTCTGCACAGTAGCTGGCACATTTGTAGTGCCAAACTTCTAGTCAGCAGTCAAATGCCTTACCCACTAAGCCACCAGATATCCTTCCCAAAAACAGAAAGCACAGGTAATTCTCAGATCTCTGTGCATCAATATCATTCTTTAATGAAAGGAATCAGAGTTTCTTATAAAAAATCTGATTACAGAACCCAAACAGGAAAAGGACAAGAGGAGTTTTGAGCACTCTCTGAACGTGTACAAATTTTAATGGGAACAGGTACAAAAAGACAGAAACCTACTCAAAGGCGCTCGTAGTTACCAAATCTGAAACAGTATGTGCAAAAAAAAAAAAAGAAGATGTAAGATGGTTTACACTGTATTGGAGTGACTGCCCAAACAATGTCCCATTTACCCAAAATCCGTAGTTACAAAACAGTTACCATTAAGGTTCTCTCATAGTAAGACTGCCTCCTGCAGGACTGCAAGCCCCACATCCTTATATACTAGTGACACATCATCTACATGCCGCTCAGTCCCATCAGTCGGATCCAGGCACAGACCAACATCCCCATGATCTTACAGGTGCAACTGGATGGGGCAGGTTCTATTCTCAACAATTTCCTCTCTCTCATACCTGCCCTACCCCCTAGTATAAGTCTAAATGTACAAAGCCCATGTGGCCAGTAAACTGTCTTCTTTAAGTTGGCAGTGGGAGAGGTGAACCAACAGGGATTGTAATAAAATGGGCATAGATTATATTAACAAGTAGGTGCTAGTTTGTAACATTCATCAACAAATTATTAGTATAGTGCTTACAAGTACAATAGCATACTTGAGAGTCTATAACGGCTTTTATGTATACAAAGGCACGTTTTGTATACTATAGACTGAAAGAGGTATTTGCATGACGTTACATACACACTATAACAAACTCTTTGGAAGAAATGATTAGAATAGAAAATATAGTTTGGTAAACACCCGAGTGAAGATTTAAACATGACTATCTACAATATGGACTACAATTCAGTATGAAGAAAACAAAAATCCTCACAAATGGACCATTAAGCAGCATCACGATAGCTGGATAAAAGTGTGAAGTTGTGAAATACTTCATATTATCTGGATGTACAATAAACACCAATGGAAGCAGTAGTCAAGACATGAAAAGACATATTGCATTGGGGGAAATCTGTTGCAAAGACCTCTTTCAATTGCTGAAGAGCAAAGACATCTTCTTGAATACCAAGATGTGCCTAACCCAAGCCATGAGATTTTTAATGGTGAGTGTATTCAACTGTATTTGAAATAACATCATTAAAACCGTGAAAATATTATAAAACCTATTTGCTAAAAGCTATTTCCTGTCCCTTTAGTTGTAATAGCCAAAGAGTTATGAAAAAGATAAAAGGTTGGATTGAAAAAGGAAGAAACACTGGTAAGGATGGTCCCACAGTTACAGTAAAACAATCATTTCTCACAAAGCCATAAATAGTTTTAACCACCCAGTCTTTGAGTTGCTATTATTTTCTTACTCACTGAGAAACTTTGTTGTTTAAGGGCTGATTTACAGTAATTTGCTATTTCCAATTATAACAGGAAGGTGAAAACATCCCAAGTTTGACAAAGAAGTATCTCCAATGTGAGTTCTTAACTGAGAAAAGAGATGTGAAGAACAACTTTAGGCTTTCCCACACTACTTACATTCAAATGGCATCTCTCTCCTGTGAGTTTTCATATTTACAGTGAGGGTTGAGTAATCACTAAAGGTTTTCCTACATAACTTACAGCCAGAAGACCTCTGCCCCCTGGGAACTAGCATATATAAAGTGGGGTTTGACTTTTGACAAAAGGCTTTCCACATACCTTGCATTCATAAGGCTTCTTAACTGTGAATTTTTATGTGTTCCGAGAGACAACAGGAATGAATAACAGTTTTCCCACATTCCTTACGTTCATAACACCTTCCCTCTCTGTGAATTTCTGTATGTTGACTTAGCTGTTATAATGCCTAATGGCTTTTCCACATTGCTTTCATTTGTAAGGCCTCTCTGCACTGTGACTCCTTAAATAACAAGTGAGGTCCCAGGAATTTCAAAAGCCATTCCCACATTCCTTAAATTCCTAGGGCCTATCTCCACTGTAAGTTCTTCTATGTTCAGAGAGCTGTGAGGGCTGAGGAAATGCTTTCCCACATTCCTTACATTCATATGGCCTCTGTTCACTGTGACTTCTTATATACCTAGTGAGGTCTGAGTGTTGAACAAATGCTTTCCCACATTCCTAACATTCACAGGGCTCCTCTCCACTGTGAATTCTTTTATGTGTTGAAAACTGTGATGGGGACTAAATGCTTTCCACATTCCTTACATTCACAGGGCCTCTCTCCACTGTGAATTCTTTTATGTTCAGAGAGCTGTGAGGGCTGACTAAATGTTTTCCCACATTCCTTACATTCATAGGGCCTCTCCACTGTGAATTCTTTTATGTATACAGAAGCTAGAGGGCTGATTAAATGCTTTTCCACATTCCTTACATTTATAGGGCCTGTGTTCAGTGTGAATTCTTTTATGCTGTGAGAGGTGTGAGGGCTGACTAAATGCTTTCCCACATTCCTTACATTCATAGGGCTTCTCTCCACTGTGAACTCTTTTATGTACAGAGAGGTTTGAGGGCTGACTAAATGCTTTACCACATTCTTTACATTCATAGGGTCTCTCTCCATTGTGAATCCTTTTATGTGTAGATAGGGAAAAGGAACATCTAAATGTCTTCCCACATTCCTTACATTCAAAGGGCCTCTCTCCACTGTGAACTCTTTCATGTCTAGAGAGGGTTGATAGCTGACGAAATACTTTCCCACATTGCTTACATTCATAGGGTCTCTCTCCACTGTGAATTCTTTTATGTGTAGAGAGGTGTGACAGCCGACTAAATGCTTTCCCACATTCTTTACATTCATAGAGACTCTCTCTACTGTGAATACGTTTATGTACAGAGAGGTTTGAGGGGTGACGAAATACTTTCCCACATTCCTTACATTCATAGAGCCTCTCTCCACTGTGAATTCTTTTATGTACAGAGAGGTTTGAGGGTTGAGTAAATACTTTTCCACATTCCTTACATTCATACGGCCTCCCGCCACTGTGAATTCTTTTATGTACAGAGAGGTTTGAGGGCTGACTAAATGCTTTCCCACATTCCTTACATTCATATGGCCTTTCTCCACTGTGAATTCGTCTACGTGTAGAGAGGGTTGAGGACAGACTAAATGCTTTCCCACATTCCTTACATTCATAACCCTCATCTGTCTTGTGAAATTTTGGATGAAACATCAGGGATGTTGGATGACTACTGATTTCACAACATGCTTCACACTCGCGTTTATGACTTCTCACATGTCTACAAAAAGAAGAGAAATTACTGAAATACTTCCTACATTTCTTACGTTCATAGCGTTTCTCACCAGTGGATATCTTCACAGGAACCTTAAGGGTTGACATGCAAAAGTCCTTCCTGTGTACTTTAAACTTCTGGGGCTTCTTTGCCTTAAGAGTTTTCACAGGAGTGGTTCGGTGAGGACAACTGCAGGCTGTACCACATTCCATACAGTGACAGGTATTGTCTATGGAGGCTGATTTAGTGTGACACACATGTGATGACACGTCCATGAAGGCCGTTCCCCACACACTGGATTGAAAAGGACTGGCCTCCTCAGGGTTTCTCTGTAGCACAGCAAGATCTGGAACACAGCTGAAGATTTTCCCACACTGACCGTCTTCATTAGTTTCACAGAGGATCTTTACATCGTGACTTCTGTTAAACACAGGAGATATGTTTAGTTGTTCTCATTTCATTATCATCAAACACAGTGAATGTGCATGGTTTCTGGTTTCTGCTCTGATTTATCCCATCTTTTATTAGTCAATTTATCTACCAGAAATATTTAAAAAATTTTCTGAACCCTTAGTTTTCAGCTAGATTTATACATATAAAATATATATATATATACATACACATACACACACACACACATATGGGTGTGTGTATGTATGTATATATAGATAAGCACGTATGCTGAAGGAAAAAGTCAAGCTTCACTTAAGAAATTGATGAAAATCAAGGCTCTAGGAATTAATGGACTACCCTTTTGAGATGTTTCGACAAATGGATGTTCCACTGGAGACACTCAATGATCTATGCCAGGTGATTTAAAGATAGCTACCTGGCCCATGGCCTGGGAAGATTTCCATTTTGTACCAATTCCAAAGAAAGGTGATTCAACAGAATGGGATGATTATCGAATGAAATAATTAATGTCAAACAGAAGTAAAGTCTTGATAAAGATAATTTAGAAACAGTGGCAGCAATATATTGCCAAGGAACATCCAGAAAGGCAAGCTGGATTCAGAAGAGGATGTGGAACAAAGGAGATCATTGCTGATGTCTGATCGATCTTGGGGCAGAGCAAAGAATACCAGAAAGATGTTTAATTCTGTTTTATTGACTCTGGAAAGGCATTCAACTGTGTGGATCATAACAAATTATGGTAACATTGAGAAAAATCACAATTCCAGAACACTTGATTGTATTCATAAGGAAACTGTACGCAGACTCCTGGTATAGGAGATGATAGGGTTATCTGATTCAAAATGGCCAAAGCCAGTCCATTTCAGCTCACTAATGCCTAGGATATCAATACTTACTCATTCCATTACATTTCTAACAACGTCCAATTTTCCTACATTCATACTTCCTACATTCCATGTTCTGAGTATTAATGGATGTTTGCACTTGTTTCTCCTCAATTTGAGTCATGCCACTTCAGCACATGGAGGTCTCAAAAGCTTTACCTCCTCCATATCAGTAAGGCTTCTTTTACTCTGATGATGAAGCTCTTCTCACAGTCGTATTTTCAGAGCATTCTAACCTATGTGATTTATCCTCCTCTGTATTGCACAATGTTTCCGGACTATTCATAAGGTTTTCCCTGGACAATTTTTTGAGAAGTAGATGGTCTCTTCCTTCTTCCTAGTCTGTCTCAGTCTGCAAGCCTCACTGAAACCTGTGCACCCAGTGCACCCCGCTAGATTTGAAACACTGGTGACACAGCTCAAGAATCACAGCAACGTATCACAATAGTATGAGAAACTGAGAGACAAGTTTTTCTCCCTTAGGTGTTCGAAAGCTCTCCAACTTCCCCTTACCTGGATCCCTGGTCCTGCCTCCTCACTCTGTCCCGGGCCCTTGGCCTTTTTCTCTCCTTTCACCCACTTTCCCACCTTGCCAGTTCATATGCATAAAAGGCAATTATAAACACCATGGCTTGGGTTAGGTGTACCTTAGTCATCAAAGTGACATCTTTGTGCTTCTACTCTTAAAGAGCTCTTTTACAGCATATTTACCCAGTGCAACACAACATATGATTTCTTTATTACTGCTTCCATGGGGTGACTGTGCAACGAATATGAAATATTTGACAGCTTCAATGCTTTTTCCATTTATCATAAAGCTACTTATTCCTCCAGTTCTGAGGACTTTTGTTTTCTTTATGTTGATGTGTAAAATCTATACTGCAAACTGTAGTACTTCATCTTCATCAGTAAGTACTTCAAGTCATCTTCACTTTCTGCAAGTAAGGTTGGGTCTGATGAGTCTTCCTCCACCCCTGATGTCATATTTTACTTCACACGATCCAGATTTCCAGAATATGTGCTGAAAATACAGATTGAATGAGTGTGCTCCAAGCATAAAACCTTGATACACACCCTTCCTGATTTCACACCATTAAATATCCCATCATTATGATTAAAAGACAGCCCCCTGGTCTATGGAGAGGTTCCTCATGCCCAATTAAGTGTTCTGGAATTCCCATTCTTCTCACTGTTACCCGTGTTTTTTAAGGTCCACGCAGTCAAATAATTTAGGGTAGCGAATAAAAAAAAAATTAAAACCTTTCTGGTATACTTTGCCTTCAACCAAGATGAATCTGACATCAGCAATGATATTTCTCATTCCACATCTTGTTATGAATCCAGCTTGCACTTCTGGACATTGCCTGTCAATATAGTGCTGTAACTGTTTTTGAATTACATACAGCCAAATTTTAATTTTGTGTGATACTACTGATACTGGTTGATAATTTCCACATTCTCTTGGATCACCTTTCTCTGGAATGGATACAAACATGGATCTCTTCTAGTCAGTTGGCCAGGTAGCTTTCTTCCAAATTACTTACCATATATAAATAAATACAACCAGATTACAATCTGCCTGTTGAAACATTCCAATGGGTAATTCCTCAATTCCTGTAGCCTTGTTTTCCACCAAATACTTGACTTCAACTATGACTTCTTCTTGGAATACCAGTGTTTCTTGATCATATGCCACCTCCAGATATATGATGGTTCAACAGTGGCCAAGTTTTTCTTTAAAGTGACTCTGTATATTCCTTCTGTATTCTTTTGATGCTTCCTTCTTCACTCAGTATTTTGCCTTTAGAATCCAGGAACACTTCAACTCCAGGCTTCCATTATGTCATCAGTTTCAGCTTGAGAAATGCCAAGCAGGTCTTTGTGCATTTGATTATAATAAGTGATTCCAACGTCATGAGCCGCTCTGTGTAATCTTCTGTTCAGGACTTTTGTCATGTCATTTCTTCCATTTGCTTCAGCGACTCTCCATTCATGAGCAAATTTCAGAGGCTTGTGACATCCATTTTGTACTTTCCTGTCTTTTTAATTACTTTTTGCTTTCTTTGTGTCTTATGACCTTGATGTCTTCCAACAAGTCAACCGGTTTTCACTCATTCTAGTTCCATGTGTCTCATAACTTCTTCAGATGGTCTCTAAATTCTGGTGGGATATAATTGGGATCATATTTGGGTTCTTGTGGTATTGTTTGAACTTTCTTCAGTTTCAAATTGAACATGCATACGAGTAATTGATTTTCTGTTCCACAGTCATCTCCGGGACTTGTTTTGCCAAAGATACTGAGTTCTCTATCTCCTTTTTCCACACAGGTAGTCAATCTGATTCCTGTGTATTCCATCTGGGGATGTCCATGTGTATAGCCAGAGTTTATGTTGTTAAAAAACGTATAAATGATGAAAAACTTCTTGATCTTAGAAAATTCTATCATGCAATCTGGGGCACCATATTTTCCAACTACATGATTCTTCTTTGTTTGAACTTATACATTCCAGTCACCAATAATAACTAATACATCAAATCTTGATTAAAAGTTTGGTGAATTTCACAATGCAGAAGTGGGTGAAAATCTTCTATTTCTTCAACTTGGGCATTAGTCGTTGGTGTGTTAATCTGAATAGTAGTAGTAGTAACTGGTCTTCCTTGTAGGCATACAGATATTACTCTATCAATGACAGCACTGTACTTTAGGAAAGATTTTGAAACATTCTTTATGACAATGAATGCCATACCATTCCTCTTCAATTTGTCATTCCCGGTATAGTACATCATATGATTGTCTGACTCAAAATGGCCAGAACCAGTCCATTTCAGCTCTCTAATACCCAGGATATAGATCTTGATGCATTGCATCTAATTTTTAACTTCAGTTTTCCTACGTTCATACTTTGTATATCTCATGTTCTGATGATTAATGGATGTTTCCAAATGTTTCTTCCCATTTTGTGTCATGCTGCATCAGCAAATGAAGACGCTGAGAACTTAATTCCATCCATGCTATTAAGATCAACTCTACTTCGAGGAAGCAGCTCTTCTCCAGTCTTATTTTGAGGGTTTAGACCTCTCATCTTCAGGCACCAAATCAGACAATGGTTCAGGACTATTTATAATGTTTTCCAGTAATATATCAGACAGTGTCTCACTGCTATTCATAAGGTTCTCACTGGCCAATTCTTTGAGAAGTGAATGGCCCCTCCCTTTTTCCCAGTCTGTCTTAGGCTAAAAACTCCACTGAAACCTGTTCACCATGGGTGACCATGCTGGTATCTGAAATACCAGTGCCACTGCCTCCAACCTCACAGCAACAAGTAAAGCATCACAGTATGATGAACTGACAGGTGAGTAGTGGGAGTGCTTCCAACTGGGGTCAAAATCCGACTGGAAACAGACTTGGTTCCTAGGCAATACATACGCTGCCCTCGTTTAGGTTGGCAATTACTGAACCGCTACAAAGCGCTTCAAATTCCAGTTATATGTATACAAATACAAATGTGTGTATTTTAATGTCATGACATCCTATGGTTTACTCCATCAGTCATCTTTTTCTCTTATTTGAATGACACTCACCTCAAACATCTCCCTTGGTTTTGATGCAGAACTTTCTTACCAATCAAATCGGACATCTCGCCTAACATGGAGGACCAGGCATTATTCTTCATCAATCGCAACAGTACATGATCACTGCACACCTTCTCTCCATTAGTAAAAGAGACTGACCAAAAATTCAAGTAAAGGTCCACAACATGAAACAAAAAAGAAAGTAAGGATTGGGGTTAAAAGGCTGTTGTGTAGAAAGGAAGATTCATCACATTACAATAATCTGGCAATGGTTAAAAAGCAACTGAATAGGAACTACTTCGATGCGGGCTGAAAGCAATGGTGACAAAAACGGGTGTAATTAGGAGAGCAAAGTAGAAAGATATTGGCTATGATACACATGTAACATCATAGGAAGAAAAGGGCCACCGTGACCACAGGTGAGAGAAGATGGCCAAACCTGAAAAGTAACCTCAGCTTTCTGTGATTTTGAGTCCTCAGCCTAGAACAGACTTCTTCCAGCTCAGTGACTGCAATGGAATTCCCTCCATGGAGAGCTTCCCTGTGAAAAACTCTTATTTCCTGGTGCTTTGTGACAAAGCAGCTCTCTTTGAGTCCTATCTCGACTTGTCTCAGATTTTCCCTGGTTCCCTGGGGAAAACAAATGGGCGGCACTGACTTGCGGCCCATAGAGAAATATGTATCACGAGGGAAACCAGTGAAAAACATTGAGCATTTCCATGTCACTGATCCAAAAGACTGCCCTTCAGATGCTCTGGTGATGGACAGGTGTGAGTTGATTTCTAAGCAAGTAATAACATCAAGCTTGTAATAAACATAGTACAACTTTCTACAAGGGCTCAAATCAAAAAGTTCTCGATGCCTAAGAGTGACCTCTGAAGCCCACGTGTACACTAGACACAAAGAGCTTCAGGGCTTTTAAGCACAAGAGAAGTATCACTTTACTTCTTGGCCACAGCCCCCTACCCAGAGGAGAGAGTAACCGAACCTGTGCCCTCAGGACCAAGCTAAATTAGCATAATGTATTACACAAAAACATTGTTCTACATTCTACTTCAGCAAGAGGCGACTAGGACATTAAAAGGTTGTGAGCAGCCATCTAAATGGACTGATGGTTCTCTCCTTTTGCAGAATAAAGAAAAATGAAAAAAAAAAAAAAAAGATTCATGGAAACAATCAGTCCAAGTGACCGGTACACCAGGTGATCCTCAGCCTATATGACTATGAGATCAGAAGAACTAGACGGTGCCCAGCTATCACTGTGAACCATTGACAGGGACAAATACGGAAGAAACCCTAGATTGAGTGGGAAAACAATGTGGCACAAAATTCAAAATCATTTCAGAAACAAAAGGGATCAAGTTTGCTGGTCTGATAGTGCCTAATACGCTCTAGCTGCCCCTCAGGTCTGGAACTGATCCCACTCCTGTAGCTTCTAGCCAAACAACAGACAGGCATCTGGCGTGAACATTCACACTAGGCAGATACAGTCCTTGGAGAAAATAATTATGGGAGACTAGAATGGCTGTGTAAGCACAGGGAGACAGATTAGGGGGAAGGAGTGCAGGGAGGGAAGGACACAGGGAAGAGGTAACTATGGGGAGTAAGTGGGAAGGGAACTGTTGAAAAGTGGTAAACTGTAGGCAATGTAATGAGACAAAGTGTACGTAAATTGCTAAATGGAAAGTGAATTTCCTCTGTAAACGTTCACCCACATCACAATGAAAAATAAAATAAAACCCAGAAATGTCACTTTAATACTTGGTGCTTTAAGATCATGGAAAAGCCAGGGTAAGTGAGCTCCATAGACAAAGGAACCACCACGATCATACTTAATAATTTATTCCCAATCCTCAGCCCAAACTGTGCTGCAATGTTGGTGAATAAAATATTTGTGATGTTTAGAGGAGTAAATATGGAAAAAAAAAAAAAAAAGATCTCACTTACCTACTGTGGCTACGTTTCTCAACGTTTCTGTCAGGACATCTCTGTAGAATTTCCTCTGATCAAGACCCAGCAAAGCCCACTCTTCTTGGGTAAAGACTACGGCCACATCCTCAATGACCATGGAGTCCTAAAACATCCCACACATTTTGGATCAACAAGGAACCATGTAGCCAACAACACGAATGGGGAGCTCAGAATTCACAGGCATTTGACCTAAACTGCTATATTCAACAAAATTCTACTCTGTGATATGCTATAAGGGTCAATCCCCCCTGTAGCTACATTGCCTTCCTCACAGACTGTGTTCTGTCTTATAAGCTTACAACACCCTGAAATGATCTCCTCACAGTTTGGCTGAGAGCATGTGAAGTCTTATTCTGCTGTCTTTATTGTCTAAAACATTAAGAAAATACAGAAAGAATTAGAAAAATGCTCTCACTCAGGTCATCACTCCATTAGGAACCAACACTTACACCTCCTTCCATGAGACCCACTAGAACACTCAAGAAAACATACAGCACAAGAAGGCAGGATGGGTTATTATCAATTGGGAAGCATTACAGGATGGCAGTTTTCCATACTGTCCCTCACAGCAACAGGAGGACTGAAGGGCCACACAATCAAAGCAGAAAGTAAAATTGTACTGCAGATCATTCAAACACAGTTGCAGCATTGTACTGACGAGGGATTACCAGAAATGCAAATCGGATTCAGAAGAGAGTGTGAAACAAGTGTTATCATTGCTCATGAATCTTGGCTGAAAGCAGAGCATACCACAACATGTTTACCTGTTTTATTGACTATGTGAAGGTGTTTCACTGTGTGGATCATAAAGTATGGACAACATTGCAAACACTTAATTGTGCTCATGAAAATTCTGTAAACTGACCAAGAGAGAGCTGTAATGCAGAGTTTCAAATCAGGAAAGGTGTATAACAGGCATGTATCCGTTTCCTGTACTTATTCGATCTGTGGGGTGAGTGAAATCATCTTGAGAGACTGTATTATATGAATACTAACATGGCATCAGGACTGGAGGAAGACATATTAACAACCTGCGATATGCAGATGACTCAATATAGCTTGTTCAAAGTCAGGAAGACCTGAAGCACTTACTTAGGAAGATCAAAGACTGTAGCCCTCACTCTGGATTACACCTCAAAAGAAAGAAAACAAAAATCATCACCACTGGACCAAGAAGCAACATCAAGATAAATGGAGAAAAGATTGAAGTTGTGAGGGATTTAATTTTCTTTGGATCCACAACCAATGCCCATGGAAGCAGCAGTCAAGAAATCAGACGTTGAAATGCAATGGGGAAATCTACTGCAAAAGACCTCTTTACAGTGTTAAAGAGCAAAAATGTCACCTTGAGGCCTCAGGTGCACCTGACTCAAGGCATAGTATTTGCAACCGCCACACATGCACGGGAAAGGAGGATAGTGAATAAGGAAGATCTCAGAAGAACTGATGCATTTGAATTCTGGTTTGGGTCAAGAATACTGAAAATACCATGCCCTACCAGAAGAAGGAACAAATGTGGCTTTGAAGAATCACAGCTAGAATGCCCCTTAGAAAAGAGAACAGCCAGACTTCATCACTGACTTCAGTTATGTTGTCAAAAGGAACCAGTCCCTGGAGAAGGATATCATGCTTGGGAATGTACAGGGACAACACTAAAGGGAGAAACCCTCTCCAAGATGGATTACCTCAGTGGCTTCAATGAAGGGCTCAAGGACAGCAATGATTCTGAGTCTGGCAGAGGTCCGGGCAATGTCTCATTCCATTGCACACAGGGTAACTATGAGTCAAAACTGACTCCACATCATCTAATAAGGTCTTATAAACAAAAACCCAAACATGTTCATACTGTAATCGTTGGTGACTCACCAATCAACACTATTATGAAAAATCACATATGTACACCCATGTATACACAGCCGCACATATGTATGTACAAGAAAGGAGCTCTGTTGGTGCAGTGTGTAACACATCTGACTGATAACGGAAAGGTTGGTGGCTCAACCCTTCCAGCTGTTCTGTGGGAGGAAGATAACACAGTCTACTTTCATAAAGAATTACAGCCTTAGAAATCCAGAAGAGGTCTCTGAATCATAAGTAATTCGATGGCAGTGGGTTTGGTTCGGTTCTGGTAAGTCCAAATAGATAAAGATCAGAGTACACTGGAAAAATTCTGCGTGTTGCAGGAGGCAGAGCACAGGCTGAGCTGACAATTCAAGGAGCAGCACTCCTTAGGCCGCTGTGCAGAGTGGGCTTCACTGCACACAAACACCTGATACCTGAGGGACTGAAGGAACTCCCTGAGGGACATCTGAGAAGAGACTGTTCCAGAAAGAGGCAATGGTCTTAGAAGGGCAGAACAAGGGAAGGGGGCTGGTATTGTAGGAAGAACCACAGCCCAGTGTGACAGGAGCAGAGGGAGAAGCTGGAGAACAGCACGAAAGGCACCAGGAAAGGAGGGTGGGGTCCGTGGGCACATCAGTTTCAGTGACTTGTTGGCACCTGAAAAGCATGTGTCTTTGAATTTTGAATGGTTACAAGCGGCTTGCCCATTTTGGATATTTAAAGCGACAGCATTCTCTGAGATTTCAGGGACTTAGAACAGGCTCTACTTGCTGGAAATCCCGGACCCATGGGCTATTGAAAAGGTGTGACATTCCTCTTGTTACTCTTATATCTCACATCCTCTTGGTGAACGGAGGTGTGGCCATCCCTCACTCCCAGCCACCTTCTAAGCTGGATGGAATTCCACCCCAGTCTGTGTGTCCCAAGGGAGCCTGGGTGCCTTGCATCGCCCTATCCAGAATTTTTAAAAAATCTTTTTGGTTTTTTTTTTTTGTCAGCTTTAAAGAGACTACTATTATTATTACTTCTATCCTTTTTCATCATTCTTTATTCTTCCCTTTCCAGGTTCTACTTTTAAGATATTTTTCTTTGTGCTGTTCCTGGTTCCCTTATTTTTTCTTTCTTGTGTCATTGTTTTTCTTTTTTCTCTTTTCCCATTTTATTCTTCATTATTATCCTTCTTTAATCGTTTTCTCTTACTGCCCTCTCCTCAGATATTACAGTATATTTTGTTTTGCTTTGTTTCCCTTTTCTCTTTTTTGGTTACTGTTCCTGTGTAATTACATAGTGTGTATTTTGTCCATTGACTTTTATTTCTTTGATGGTTATTCAATTGTTATTTTTGTCGAACTGAGTGGGAGCTAGCAATAGTCCCCATAGGACACAACTACACCCACACCTCTTACAGCTTCACTTACTGATAGAGACTCACCTCCGTCTTCTCCACCAACAGGCCTATGATAAACCACCACCAAGAAAAGCCTGAATCATCCTTAGCTGCTCTTCAAAACAGTTAACAGAGATCTAAATACAACAACGCCACGATGTCTCAGGCACAACAGAGCATTACAGTTCACACAAAGAAGCAAGATAAAGTGGTAGAAACAACGGAGCAGGATACAGACCCAGAACACATCCTTGAGGAAGAGACAGCATTGGAACTCCCTGACAAGGACTTCAAAAGAAATATATTTAGGTAATTTCAAAAGATTGAGAGACAGATCAAGGAAAACACAGACAAATTCCTAGAAGAATTTTGGAAGAAAATACAAGAACAAAATGACAAAATAAATGAAAAATTAGAAATGATGCTAATTCCACAGATAAAAATCCAGAAGATCAATACTAAATTGTCACAAATAGATAACACAGGGAAAGGGCAAAGGAGGAGAACTGATGCAATGGAAGACAGAATTAATGAGACTGAAGACAAACACCTTAATATTTCTTTGGAAAGGGATCAATCAGAAAAAACATGAGAACAAAATGAAGAAAGCTTAAGGATCATGTGGCATACCATCAAAACAAATAATTTACGTCTCAGTGCCATTCCAGAACAGAAGAGAAAAAGAAAACCACTGAGAAAACTGTCCAAGATTTGTTGGAAGAGAACTTCCCTGATGTGATGAAAGATGAGAATATATCCATTCAGGAAGTACAACGAATCCCAAACAGGACAGACCCCAAAAGAAAATCACCAACGCATATCATCATGAAATTCATCAAAACCAAAGACAAAGAATCCTGAAAGCAGCATGGGAAAAACAAAAAGTTACTTACAAAGGACAACCAGTAAGAATAAGCTCTGATTTCTCAGCAGAAAACATGCAAGTGAGAAGGCAATGGGATGGTATATATAAAACCCTGAAAGATAAAAATTTACATTCAAGAATTATATACCCAGGAAAACTGTCCCTCAAATATAATGGTGAATTTAGCAGATTTCCAGATAAGGAAAAACTAAGGCATTTTGTTAATACCAGACCAACATTACAAGAGATAATAAAGGGAGTCATTTGAACAGAGAACCAAAAATAGCAAATACACAATACACAAGATGACATAACCCAGAAACCACAGCTAGGGCCACTTCCAAAGGAAAATAAGCTTACAAGATTGTAAACAGAGAATCAGAAATTCAACTGGCAAATGAGGACAACTACAAACAGAAAAAGAGGGAAATACTGTATAGTTACAGAACTTCTAAATGGTGAGGAAGTCAAGACAGTTTCGAGATAGAATGGACTATTCCAAACTCAGGGAGAAAATTATAAATCACAGGGTAACCTCAAAGAAAAATGATAAACCTTCACATCACAATAAAAAAGAGGACCAATACAAACATTCAGCAAGTAATAAAATGACAACAACAAAGGAAGTAATAACACGATGCATAAACATAAGAGTTCAGTACAGAAAATAATATGAAACAAAGAAACCAGGGACACCATGAAAAAACACATACCAAAATTACAGCAATCAATTCATGCTTGCCAATAATTACACTGAATGTTAATGGACTAAATGCACCACTCAAGACACCGAGAGTTGCAGATTGGATAAGAAAACAAAAATCTATCAATATGCAGTCTACAAGAGACACACCTTAGAGACAAAGGCAGAAAAAGACTAAAAATTAAAGGTTGGAAAAAGATACATTAAGCAAATGGCAACTGTAAAAGAGCAGGAGTGGAAATATTAATTTCTGATCAAACTGACTTTAAGACAAAAACCACCATATGAGACAAGGAAGAA